CGTTGTCATTATTATCGGCGTCCTCTCACTGTGTTGAAGCTAGAATAGATTCTAGTTTCGAGACAGGTAGAATCGAACGCGGAAACTCCGAAGATACCGAAGATTCTCTTGTTACGTAAATTTCCAATCGACCTTTCATATCCTCTTACTTGCAATCGGATTTTCTGTGTAAAATTCCACTGTTTTATTAATCGCGCGGCTTTTGTCTCAGTAATACAAAAACTTGAAGTAAAAAAAAAGAAAACAGCTCGTCTCTACCGAAAGTCGGGTTCGGGGCCCGGCGAGAGCCTAGTCCCGGAATCTCGCGTAATTATAATAAACCTCGAATCAAGTAGGTAGGCCCCCGCGATAATTATGACAGCCGGTTTCGGAGATGGCCGAGCGGATACGAGATCCCCTCTGAGAGCAGTACGTAATCTGTTTCTGACAGGCCTGGACCCGGCCAGTTTAGCGGGCATGGCAGCCGCAGTGGCGGTGGCAGGGGAATACCCACCTCCGGGCGCGGGGGGCGGCCCTCCGGAATTTCTCACGGGGCCCCCCGGGCAGGGGCCCCCTGCGCCCACCGGCGGCAGCCCCGGAGAGTTCCTGGCACCTTCAGGTAAGAGGGAAATATCCTCCTCCGAGCCATTACCACCGAAAATCGGCCGAATCGCGATCGCCAATCTACCTCGGGTCTGCCCGCGAGCGGACTTAATATTTGCGCTCGCGCCGATTTATTAGCGTTATTTTCGCGATGCGGCGGCGACCATTAACTCGCGACCGTTCGAAGGAGATCGACCCGTTTCTCGCACCGAAAAATAATATTAATATAATAACAATATTCCGCACGAGACGCGTTTCTTTATAGATGTCGAATAATTCTTTTTCATCGGAACTAGACATCAATATCCTTAATACATCAATTTTTTTCTATTCAATTATATTTTATATTGATATCTGTCTTAATCATTTTTCTTAACTTGATTTTCGGCAGCACGCACAAGTTAATGGTCGCGAATAAGAGAGATTGTATAATGTTCACTTGAGTCGCGTTTCGTGATGATTATTCGTGACGATTTATTATACACATCTCTGTTACATCGAACATGCTATGTCGTGTTAATTAGGAACGGTTTAGTCCCGCGGTATCGAATCGAAACTGTTTCACGCCATTCAACGTTTCACATTGAAATGAAAATTATACGTTGCTGTTAACCTTTCGCACGCGGTATCATTTTTATCGCGCGGCATCGCGCGTCATTATTCGCGCACCGTGTCGCGACGTTATTTCGCGCACGAAAGACACGCGCGCAGGGATTTCTAACCGGCTCTAGGATTTTCTGCAACAAAGTATACAGCTCTGCGTGAATGTCATTTCCTTCTGAGCCTGTCGTACGGATAATTGAGATCTGGCAATCATCAGGAGGTTGGCGTGACCTTTCGCGATACACGTCTAAATACTGAAATTCACGTTTTCCAACCGCGCGTCAGATACGCATATGCGTCTTGTCCGGCTGTCACCGGCGTATCAATCACGTCGCATACGCGCGTTATTAATTCGTTGAGGAAAGTGCAGTTTAACGATAGTCGCATTAATAATCATTGTACTTATAAAGGAGCGCGTTTAACACGGCTAACGTGGCTAACGTGGCTTCTGGTAGCCCGAGGCCAAGTTTGAGAATTTCGCAACGCGGAAACTTTTATTCGTTAAAATGTATGACAGCAAATGTTACGTATATAATGCCCGCAAGGAATAATGGGATAATGATAAATATTCGAGTTTCAGAACTATCGATGGATTCAAGGTACATTAAATCGCACCGGATTGGCTCGAATATATGATGAGATTTTCCGGATGTTCGAAACTTTCAAGAATCTCAAGATATTCAAGAATCTCCGGTTTCGAATGCGGAACAATTCGTATCTTTTTTTTTTACGATTGAAGTTGCTTAAAAACTTTTATCGCTATTCCAAGCCGATCGAGGCTTTTATTCGCCGACTTCGTACGACGGATATGGCATGCGCGCGGTAGATAAGACAAAAAAGAGCCGGTGGCAGTTGGAGAGTAGGCGTTGTACAAAATGTCACAACGACGAAATATATAAAGCGTATCGCGGCTATCGGAGATCGCGCGCGTTAATATTTATAAACCCGCCGGCGGCGGATTGTCTCGCCGACTTTCACGGGACTTCCGGCCACATATCGGCCGGGTCGGGTCCGTCGCGTCGCGTTGCTCTGCACGCTGCGGGATTTAAATCTTAATTGGCATCGACGCCGTGCGCGTTCGCTTGTTCCCAGGTGGAGGGCAAGGTAATCCGAGCGGCGGCGGCGGGAACGGCGGCGGTCCAGGCGGCGGCGGCGGCGGCGGTGGCGGCGGGGTCGCGGGCGGCGGGTTCCTGGAGCCGCACCAGATGCAGAGCGAAGGGCTCGCCTGGTAGTACGAGTTTTAATTAACGTCCCTTTTATGATAATAACAATTCCGCCCGCGCGCCTAAAATACGGAGGATCGCGAGAGCGCGCGCCGTCGAAAGCGCGAGAGCGATGAAACGGCGACGGCGACGGCGACTGCGGCGATTTCGAGTCCGGAGGACGACGGGAGGCTCGGCGCTTCTCGTCGCTTTTCCTTCCCCACCTCCGGTTTTTCCGTTCCTTCTCGTCCCTGTCCTCCCCATTCTTTCCGTTTCGCGTTGCGATCGTGATCGCGATCGAGTCGTCGTGAAATCGACTCGTTCTTTATGTAAGATATTACAGACACGGAAGCGTTTGTCCGCGCGCCTCGATTCACGGTTATTGTCGTCGACGCACGGTCGACGCTTATTATCTCTATTGATTACGGCATCTCCCGGCGCCGCGACGCCGCGACGTTATTATTTACATTATTATTATTAATATTATTAATTATTGATTATTATTATTATTATTATTATTGTGTATAAAATTCGAAGAGGTCCCTATCGTGTAATATTGTACCCCTCCCTGTTGATTATTTCTTTTCTCGACGTTACTTTGGAGACACCCTGTAGATATCTGCTGTTGTACACCTGATAAAGACACGCGTACACCGGTCGCTAGACACGTTCACACACACTCTTACACTTGCAACGTCACACGTGCATACGAACAGATACACGGATACACGTATCCACACACACTTGGAGACACGCTGTACTAATATTATCATTAAAGTATAAATATAAATAGGAAACGTGTAATTTGTATCTGTTAAGAGCGGCGAGATCGATGTAAATACACACGAGGAACACGCAGAAAAAAAAACACGCTCTATTCTCTCTTTTTGCTGAAAATGCGCGCGCGTAGCGATTTGCGCGAGACGGCTGGACTTACTCCACGAACGCCATCGGAAGTATAAGAAAAAAAAAATATATATATAGTATATATATGTGTATTGTGACGCAACAACACCGAGAGTAAGGCAGATCGGGAAAGAGATGCGCCGCCGCGACGCATAACGATTATAAATACTATTATAATAAACCACCTCGTATTTCCGTATGCGGAGCTGTGCATTTCATTTCCTTCTGACCGCCGCGCGACGCTTTTCCTTCGGCTGAGCGAATGACGTTACGTAGAAGGACGGAGGAGAGTGTGTTGTCCGGTTGGTTTCTTAGACGAACAATTTGATATATTGCGCAAACTTCTCTTTTGTTTCGTAAGAACGTTTTATCCGATAAATCGACATCTGCCTCAATCACGATCTATAAAAAAGAATCAGGCAATTAATATCCACTTCTACCAATGTAGATTAACTTTAATCTTCGTTTAACTTGCTCTTTATCTTTTTCTGAGAATTAGAAAAAGATAAGAAGTAATTCTAAAAATTAGAAAAAGATAAAAAGTAAGTTAAACCAAAATTAAAGTTAAAATCTACATTGGTAGAGAAATGG